CCTGCCCCGTGGCCATCGTGGCGGCTGGGGGCCTGCTGGTTGGCAGGACCGCTGTTACTGAGCTGTCACTTCCGAGGGTGCGGGGCCTGGGAGAGCCGGCTGGGCCTGATGAGTGTCAGGGGATCTCACACCCCTGCTTCTGCAGGCGTCTGTGCGAGGCGGCTCTGGGGACCGGTCCGGTCCGGTCCGTGTGCCTCTGGCCTTTGGCAGGCGTCAGCTCGAGAAACCAGGTCCCTTAGCTCCTCCGGCTGACTGGTTTGCACGACCCCAGCCGCCCCGTCTTCCCGCGCTGCCTCTGCACGCGGGGTCCAAAGGCTCGGTAGCGCTTTGGGGTTTGGTGCCCGCCCCAGAAGCCGCTGGAAGCTGGGTCAAGGTCTCGGCAGAGCAGTTGTGCAAGGCAGGGAAGGTCACGGCTGTGCCGGCAGATCAACTCCTATGGCAGCTTTGCCTACGGCCCCATTGCTTCAGACCCAGCGTCTGGGCAGGTCGGGGGAAAGCCAGCGTTCCTGAGCAATGTGCACATGGGGCAGGGGCCAGATGCCCGCCTCCCTCCCGACCTCCTGCGTGCATCGCGCCTGGAGCTGGCTGTGTGTCACATCCATGTGATTCCTGCAGTGAATCACATGGATTCACATGTGAATCGCATGGAATCACATGTGATTCGGCAGGCCGACTTCTCAAGGGCTCTGCTTGCTCTCCTTCCCTTGCTGCATGTCTAGCAGGAGCCTGGGCCCCTGCCCAGCCCAGCCCAGCCTTGCCTGTGTGCTATGGCCCTGAAGCCCACCCAGCTGTTTGCAGCTGCAAAGTGCCAGTGCCACAAACTCCCGTGGCAATCAGCCCATTGCTTCCATTGACCTTAGTGCAGCACTTTCCAGAAGTGCCCAGCCCAGCTGCACTGGACGCAGGGTCTGGGGCTTTGCCCGTGGCCCCGGAGGCAGGGGAAGTGGCTGGATTGCACAGTGCAGGGTGACAGGGCATGAGATGGCACAGGTTGGGCATTGCACTGAGGCCACGTGTGGCAGGAGCCTGGTGGGAAAGCTGGGGGTGGAAGCAAGAGGAGCTGGGTGCATCATCCTGCCCCATGCTGCCCTGCACAGAGCTTCTGGAGCTGCCCTGGTCCCTGCCCGCCTCCCGGTGTCCTGCCCACGGTTCCTGATCTCCCCGGCAAGCACAGGGCTGCGCGCCATGCAGCCCGGCCTCGCTAGGTGGCACTCCCGGCCCACGGCACTGCCCGGGCTTCAAATGCCTGCGGGTGCCAGGATCTTGCCTGTGCATTCATGGCGACCCGGGATTGCTCTTGGGCTCTCCCCCTAGCTGGCTCTTGCTTCCTTGGCTTTTTGGCTCTGGGCAAGCAAGGCCAGGAGGCAGAGCCCCAGGCCTCCGGGCGTGGGGCCTGCACGAGGATGTCTGCCATGGATTTGGGAGTAGCTGCAGCCCCGGGCAGAAGAGCCTGGGAGGAAGGTTGCGTGCGGTGGCTGCGCCGCGCAGGCTGCAATGACTGAGCTCGGCGCAGGGGATAGAACTGGGACGGAGATGTGGCGCCGCATGGGGTCCCCGGCCCTTTGATCGGCCTGGAGGACATGGGCTTTGCTTTACCCTGAGAAGTGCTGCGGTCCCACCCAACCCTTCTCGCCTGCACCCCAGAGCCCCAGGCCTGGGGAAGCACGAGCACCGCTGCACCGATCCCAGGGCCCAGCCAAGTGCAGCCCTGAGCGGAGCTGTGGGAAGGCGGGAGCCCGGACCCAGAGCTCTGGGGCTGTCAGCTCCTGGCCTGCGGTGCCGGCCGCGACCGGGGCTGCGTGGGGCCATCAGCCCTCACGGCCACCCGCGTTCATGGGTCTGCACCTTTTGGAGAGAGCGATGCCACCCCTCTGTACCTGCACGTGCACGCTGACATGCAGGCACACGCTCTTCTGGGCCCACATCGGGGTTTTCCCACCTGCAGGGTCTGATCCGTTAGACCCTGCCAAGGTCCAGCTCAGGGCAGGGCCAGACCAAGGCGGACGTTTCCGGGGCTGCTGCTGCCAGGCAGAGCCGGTGGGATGTGCTTCTGCTTCCCTACCGGCCCCCGGCCCAGGGACCCCGTGCCCTTCCTGCACAGGGCTGGTGGCTGGACACGGAGAAAATGGAGCAAGCACGGAGACAACGGGAAGCCAGTCCAAGGGGTCTTTATTGCCGGGAGGAAGGAGCCGACACCACCGGGGGTTGGGAAGGGGAGACGTCAGGCCCTCGCTATGGGGCTTCATGCATCACGCTGGTGTCTGGATCCACGGGGCGGGGTGGCAGTGGGAGGGTCCGTGGCCGCAAAGCCCAGCTCTCAAGCTGTCCGGCTCCTGGTCACTCTGCAGGCTGCCCTGGGGAGGGAGGAAGGGTCGGTCGGAGCTGGGAAGCGGCGGGGCATGCTGCAGCCGGGCCTGCCCCAGAGGGGTCAGGGGCTCCCTGGACCGGGGCAGGAAGACACGGGCCCTGCCTGGCTGGTGCCAAGCCCAGGCTGCCACGCGGCATCCAGCCACCTCCAGGTAGAGGGCAGGACCTGCTCAGCCAGCTCAGCTGGTCCCGGGCACCTGCGTCCTCAAGCCTGCCTCCTCAAGGGGCTGAGAGCTGGGGGAGGCGGGGGGCACGGCCGGGTCCAGCCAGCCGCAGCCCCCAGCCAGGCTCATGGGGAGCGGGGTCTGTGGTGGGGATCCCGGCCCCCCCCGGTAACTCAACCTGCTCAGCTCGGGGGGCTGGCCCCGGGCCCCGGCCCCATGCCTACCTCACTTGGGGGGCAGGCAACCGAGCCCGCAGCCCGTGAAGCAGCATTTCAGATTGAATGGGCAGTTGTTGTCATCCACGCACTTGTTCTCACAGGGGGCGAAGGTTTGCAGCACTTCTTTCTGGGGGCAGACGCCCCGTTTAGCTGGGGAAGCACAGACAGACACACGGCTCTGGGAAGTGGCCAGACCGGGCACGGCTGGCTCTGGCCAAGGCTCCTGCCAGCATCATCCTGCCCTGCAGAGTCCCAGGCATCTCCTGCCTCAGGCCGGATCCTGCTCCTATCGAAGCCGCCTTCCCCCAGCTCCACACTCAGCCCCCTGCCCTCCCCACTCCCTCCCTGCTGGTCCCAGCACGGCCGGTCCCTGCCCTGCCACCACCCTGCCACCGTCCAAAGCAGTTCCAGCTGCTACCAATGCCCAGAGCATGTTTTGGAGGAGCGGGGGCGCGTGAGCCCTGGGGTCTACTGCTGGGCACTGTGTTACCTGGCACAGCCTTCGTACAGTGCGCGTGGCAGCCCCTGCCACAGCACTTGTCACGTCCCTGACAGCCGCTGTCACTGCTGCACTCCGCCAGGCAGATGGTGATCAGGCTGGAGTTGTACCTGGGGCAGAAGCCGGGCTTCGCTGGGGACAGGGCAGCAGAGAGCAGCGTTAGCCCTGCCTGGGCTGGCGGCTCTGGTCACAGCCGCTGCACAAGAGCCCTGCCCACGCGTGCAGCTCTGACCCCCACCACCTCCCTGCATGCACCGCTGCGCACGCTGACCGGAGCCCGGAGCGGTGGACACGGCGGGTCTGCCAGGGCTCACAGCCCCTTACTGCCCGGTGCTGGGGGTGCTGAGGAAGGGGGCTCCGTACCTCCAATTGGGAGCATGCACTTCCTGCCGCCGTAGCTGGTGGGGCAGCAGCGCTCGCTCCCAGGGCAGTCCTGGTCCATGCTGCAGTAGTATTTAGGGCGTCCAGCCGCTCCAGTGCCAAGGACACGGGGGCACTCCCCATATTTCACTGGAAGAGACAAGGGGGAGGAGTGGGCTACAGAGCAGAACACGGGCCGGGCCGGGTCCCAGCCACCGGAGCTCGCTCGACGCCAGCTCTGCGGGGCCTGCCCGCCTGTCGCCGGTTCCCCAGCCTGCACCCGCCGGGGCCTGCATTGGAGACCGCTGGACTCAGACTGGAACCCGCACGGGACAGACGGAGACCCCCTTCTCCGCGCACCGAGCTCCGGGGGTGACGCGCATCCAGCCCACGTGCCAGGCTGCTCGAGGGGTTGTAGCAGGAAATCCCATCCTTGCCACAGCAAAACCGTCCCAGCCCTGAGGCAGCCTGGTCTTGTGCATGAAGCCGACGGATGTCTGGGGCAGTGGCCAGCCGGTGATGGGGCTGGGGCATTAGTCCCTGCTCTTTACACACCGCATGGGGCACGTGCAGCTCGGAGCAGGGGGGAAGCAATCAACAGACCTGATGTACAGGAGCCGGGAGCATTGCCACGAGCACCCAGGTGCCCAGGCAAGTAGCTGCAGGGGGATAGCCGGGAGCTGGGGAGCCCAAGGACGCCAGGCTGGGGGCGTTGAGAGGGTGCAGGGATGGGGCTGGGGTTTGGCTGGAGGGGCAGAGAGCACTCACCGTGGTGGGTCTGTGCAGACACAGGCTGAGGCCCAGCCCAGAGGGCCAAGAGCCCCGCCAGCAGTAGGAGGCCGCCAGACTTCATGATGCTGCTATACGCAGCGTTACACCACCCGGGCTATATATTGTCACCCAGCCAGGCAGCTTGCACAATGCCCCAGGGCAGCACCTGCTCTGCCCCACCCGGGAGGAAACTGGAAGCTGCAGCTCCCTGCACGCACTGCAATTAACTGCAATTAACGGGAGGGTGACACGACGTCGGGCCAGGTGCCAGGGTCCCGTGCTTCTGCACTCCAGCAGCGCCTCCGTCCAGCGCACCGGAAGTAAGGGTGCCCTCATGGCACCGCAACCATCACCAGCTGCACCCGTGACATAGGGAGCAGGGCCAAGCCATGCCCAGGCCCAGCCGCACGGCCGCTGGCTTGGTGCAAGGAGTGCACGCAGTGCCCCGTGTCGCAGGGCAGCCTCGCAGCGAGCGGGGCTCACTGGGGCCACGGGGGTGAGGGGCTCCCGGTGGGCAGGGCACAGCGGGCGATCCGGGGAGCGGCGCCAGGGCAGGGGTGCAGCTGGCCGGGCTGGGATCTCTGAGAGGTGCTGTCTCATTGGTGTGCCCGTGGGCGAGCATCGGCTGAGGGGCAGTGGCGGCTGGGGCCCCTGAGGCTAAACCCAGGCGGACGCCTGCGGGAGCAGCCGGGCAGGACACGCAGCGTCTGCTGCTGTGGATAGTGAGGGGCTGGGGCTGCACGGCCCAGGCAAGAGCCTGTCAGGGAAAGCGCGACTGACTGGGCACCGTATGCAGGGCAGATCCCCACCGAAGGAGGAGCGGGTCAGCAAGCCCAGCCGGAGCGACGGGTGGAGTAGCCCCAGAGGAAGGGCACCAGGGAGGGCAGCCGGCCTCCCCGGAAAGGAGGAGGCATTGCCGGTGCAGGCAGGGAATTCCAGCCCCGCTCCTGGAAGCTCAGCCGGCGCCTCTGGCCCGTGCCGCAGCACGGTCCTCTGAGCCGGCCTCATCTGCACCGTGAAACTCTTTGGGATTTGCAAAGGGGCCATGAGTCCCAGGCACGTGGGCGGCCACGCAGACACTGGCCACACTTGCTCCCGCATTGCCTGCAGGGAGCGACTGCCCAGGGAAGCTGTGACCAGGGCCGGGGCCATGCGTCTGACCGGGGCTCACAGGGCGTGGAGCTCGGATGCTTTGGGCCTCATGTTGCTGCAGCACGTGAGCGGTGCCCGGCCCGGCAGCGAGAGGAGACGGGCGATTCACCCTGTCGCTATGCACCTGCTTCCGCAGGTCACCACGTGCCCGTCTGCTGACACGGGCTCCGGGCCAGCCCAGTTACACCCAGGTGCAGCTGGCACTGTTCCCTGTACGCACCACTGCCCGGATCCCAGAGCTTGCTCAGCACGTGCTGCCCTCCGCTCGCTGCGGCACGTGTCCTCCCCCCACCTGGCTGGCTCCCGTGTGGGGCTTACGGGGAGGCTGGCCCCTGCGATCAGGGGGTGTCTTCTCCTTCCAGAAGAACCAGGGAAGCCCTTCTCCCTGCTGGCAGGGCTGCTGCACCGTGCACCTGTCCGTGCACCTCGGGCTCTGCGCCCTGTCCCGTGTGCTGGCAGGAGCCGGGCAGGAGAAATGGCCCCAGCTGGCCCTGGTTACCAGCCCCGCACCTCGTTAGCCCCAGGGGCCTGCTTATAATTAGGAGCTCTTGCAGGGCCCAGCTGCCTGCCCCTGGCCACCCCTGCCTCTGCCCCAGACTCCCTGGCTGCCAAGTCCTGGCCTGTGGCTTGGCTGGGTTTGGTTTGGTGAGTGCCCACATCCTGTGTGAGCGCCTGCTCTGCCCCACCCGGGAGGAAACCGGAAGCTGCAGCTCCCCGCACGCACTGCAATTAACGGGAGGGTGACACAACGTCGGGCCAGGTGCCAGGGTCCCGTGCTTCTGCACTCCGGCAGCACCTCCGCTTTTGGACATGGCACAGGGCAGAGCGGGGAGGGGACAGGGAACGCAGTGGCAGCTGAGGCAGGGGGCAGAGAACAGGGCATCAAATCTGATAGGGAGCAGGCAGCAGATTGGGCAGCGGAAAGGGATCGGAGTGGCTCTTGGGGAGGGCATGGGGCAAGCTTGTGGCATGCCGGGGAGGTGGGATGGGCAGCACTGGCTCTCGTCCCTGCCGGTTCATCTGCACCAGCCGACGATGCAAAGACCCCCAAAGCCATCTGGGTCCCTCCTGCCTGCCTGCCCCTTACAGCCCTCTCCTGCCAGCCCCTGGCCCAGCCCTGGCTGGCATGCCACTGCTCCTCGTTCCCCACCCCAGCTCTGCAGCCCGTGCTCTCGTGGGCCATCTCGGGGTCTCTGGAGGACCTCTGGGCACCAGCCCCACGGCATGCTGCACCCAGGCCAGCAGATCCTGATGAGCCGAGGGGTCCCGGGGTGGAGGAGGCCGGGCAGGGAGCACTCACCTACGTGGCGCTGGCCAGTCGTGGGCTGGGGCCTGGCCCAGAGAGCGAGGAGCCCCGTCAGCAGCAGGACACTGCTGAATTTCATGGTGTCGCGGTGCACAACGCCGGGCCAGCCCGGTTATATACTGTCCCGCCAGCCTGCAGGGCAGGGGCAGCACAAGGCTCCAGCTGGGCACCTCCCCTGCCCCGCACCATAATTCATGGCCAGGCTTGCAAAGGATGAGGTCAGGGGACAAGGGCATGTGGGTCTCCGCGGTCCAGGAGCGCGTCGGACCAGTGCGCCAGAACAAAGGTGGCCTCGTGGGGCTGCGACGGGGCAGCGCTCCTCCTCTGCACCCTGGGCACGGCTAGCCCTGGCGGGAGCCTGTGCAGCAGGGAGCAGCGCTGGGCTCTGGGCTGCACCGGGCTGGGGAGGGCCCTGAGTCACGGCTCGTTACCAGACTGAATATTAGATTTTAGGCGGTGGCACCGAGGTCATAAACGCTTGAACCAGAACAGTCTGTTCCTGTAGAGAGCTTTTATTGAGCACAGCAAATTGCAAGGTGGAGCACACGGCAAAGAGCAACAGAGAAACTTCACCTAAGCTCTGATGCAGCCTCATAGGACCCAGCGCGAGCGTGCACACCTGAGCCGAACTGAAAACGCAGCACAAGCAGCCAAAAAGGCCACAGAGCCTTGCCTAAGCCACGTGTAATCACGGTGACTGTGCCG